CATGTGAAAGCTGGACAGTGAATAACAAAGACCGTAGAAGAATTGATGCTTTTGAGTTGTGGTGTTGGAGGAGAATATTGAAGGTGCCATGAGCTGCCAAAAGGACCAATAGATTTGTTTTGGAAGAAGTGCAGCCAGAGTGCTCTTTGGAGGCCAAAATGGCCAAACTTCGTCTCTCATACTTCGGACATATTTTCAGGAGGGACCAGTTGCTGGAGAAGGATATCATGTTTGGTAAGGTGGAGGGTCAGGTAAAAGAGGAAGACTCCCAACGAGATGGATTGGTCAAGTGACAGCATCGATGGACTCAAGTGTGGTAACAGTAATGAGGTTGGCCCAGGATCGGGCAGTGTTTCGTTCTGCTGTGCATAAGGTCGCTATGGGTCGGTACCTGCTCAACGGTAGCTAACAATAACAATGAGTCAGAACTGGTTTTGACGGCATTTAACGACAGCAGTTTAGTATCAGTGGGGTTGTAATCGAGTAATCCTGTTTTGTGGTGTTAAACCTTGGTGTGAGATGTAGTGTCAAAACAAGCAAAGCCATTGCCATCAAAGTGTTTCCACGTCTCAACCGAGCAGGACTGTTCCTTAGTGTGTCCAAGACTAGACATTTTTATAGAAACAGATGGCCATGCCTTTCTCCTATGAACAGCTGGTGGTTTGGTTAGTATTCAGGTGCTTACTACAGTTTCACTAGAGCCCAATAAAGAGAAAGTTGGGACGTGGAAAAGCATTTCCTTCAGATACTGAGTCAGAAGACCTGTAACCTTGGGTGGGTGATTGTCTCTCTCTGAGCTAGTCTCCTCCCCTATAAAATAAAGATTCATTTATTCATTACCTGGGCAACTAGTATATTGCAGGAGTTCTGGTGTGGTGCTGTAGATCAGCAGTGGACTGTGAACCACAAGTTTAGCAGTTCAAACCTACCAGCCGCTCCTCAGAAACCCTATACAGGGTCACTATGAGTTGGAACGGACTCAACAGCACTCAACAACAACAAGTATATTTCAGGAGTCCTGCTGTGACACCATAGAATAAGCACTGGGCCTCAAGGTTGGTTTGAACTACAAGATTGGGTTCAAATTCATGAACCACTCCTCAGAAACTCTATACATAGTCTCTTAGGAGTCAGAGCCGGCTCCCTAGCACTCAACAACAACAGTATATTGCAGAGTCCCTGGATGGTGCAAATGATTAACCTCAGCTGCTAACCATAAGCTTAGTGATTCTAATCCACTTAGGTACCTTGGAAGAAAGACCTGGCAATCTTCCAAAAGACGACAATCATTGGAAACCCTATGGAATTCAGTTCTACCCTGAAACACACAGGACTGCTATGAGTTAGAATCGACTCAGCGGAGCCTGGTTTGTTTTGTTTCATTTTTGTATGTGCCAGGCACTGTATGAAGAAACACACAAACCCATTGCCATCAAGTCAGTGCCAATTCACACGACCTCACGTGTTACTGAGTAGAGCTGTTCAATAGGGCGTTCTTGGCTGTAATCTTTTCAGAAGCAGATTGCCAACCCACTCTTTCATGGTGCTTTTGAGTAAATGCAGATGGCCAAGCTTTAAGGTAGAAGTCGAGTGCAAACCATCTGCACCATCTAGGGACCTTTGGGTCCTGTACCTGGCACTGAGTCAACAGCAGTGGATGGGACCTGCGCGGAGGGGGACTTGCAGGTGAAACCAGCCCACTAAGTTCCAGGCACCTGTCCTTTCATTGTGCTTTGCTGTGCGATGTGAGGATGTGCAGGCCCTCAGTGACTGCACTCATCAGTAACAAGTCAACTAGCATTCTGTGTTAAGAAGGAATCTTATGAACTTGCTTAGGAAGAGCTTGCCAGAGAACTGTAAGACAAGCAAGGCTCACCATAGGCTGAGGACTAGACCGGTTTGTTTACTGAGGTCCTAGGAGATGGGCTGGCTTTCTCTTGAAATACCCCAGCACCACTCCAGTGGCCCCCAGGGATTATAGCGCAATGTGTATTTGGAAATCTTCTAGGGAAATAGTTTGAGAACGCTTATCAAAGCCATAAAATCTCTTCTGTCCTTTCACCCTCTAACTCTCCCGCGTGAGAATCTCCTAAGGAAGCACTCCCAAATGTGGGGAAAGCTGTATACAGATGTGTGTCTCAGCAGTATTGAATTTTTGTTATCGTTAAGTGCCGTGGAGTCGGTTCCAACCCATAGCAACCCTGTATAGGGTTTCCGAGGAGTGGCTGGTGAGCTTGAACTGCCAATTTTGTCGTTGAAACCGACTTTGCAGTCCAGTGCACTAACCCACAGCACCACACCAGGAGTCCTAGCAGCATAAATAAAAGCAGTGTTGATAATCCCTTCAAATCATAAGCTGCCCAAACATCCAGTCATACGGCGATCGGGTGTTGATCGTTACACATCGATTCAGTGAAATCACCCAGCAATGGAAGCAGATGAAGATTGCAACAAGGTAGGGAAATACTCTTAATGAATATGGGGTGAAAACCCAGTGTATGAAGTATTTAAGCTAAGATTGTGACAATTCCAATATGTGTGCTTTTTAATAGGCCAGACTGTTAGAAAAGACTGATCAAAAGTGGCTATTGTATAAAGACCATCACATGAGGGGGATTTTGAAGTCCAGTCTCCATTCTGGCTACATCATAATGCTTTTGAAACGTTCCCACATTCTGTTCTTCGGTTGTCACCAGTAGGTAGCTTGGTGGCACAGCTTAACTTCTCAGCCAGGAGGAGCCCGAGGGCAGCAGAAGCTGCTGTGAGGAGCTGGCCATGGTCCAGGCAAGGATTTTGTCTTTCCTCTGTCACTGTCCATTCTCCTGTGGAGTGCAGACAGACTAAAAACAGAGAAGTAAAAATATAATGTCTGATGATCATAGGTCCTATGAAGAAACAGAAAGACAATTAAAAGAAGGTTGAAGCAGGAGGGTTTGCTATTTTCGGCAGAGTCGTTCCCTCTGGCGAGAAGACATGAGAGGGTGAGGGAAGTGAGGGTGTAAGCACTGTAGGAATCTGAAGGAAAACTCTTCCTAGCAGAGGAAACAGCAAACACAAAGACGCTGAGGTGGAGCACTTGTGACAGGTGTGAGGAAGAGAAAGGAGAGTGAGGGACAGGGCAAGTGCTGGGAGAGAGCAGGGGGAGCGAAGGTCTATGGACAGTGGGCTTCATTCTGGATGTACCTTCAGACTCTTTCTGATATACAGAGCACACAAAAGCCTGGAGTGACCATCAATGAGGTGTTTGCTAAGCCTTCTCCAGGCCTGCACTCAAACACGTTTTCTGCCTGGAGCCATTCCCTTCTTTAGTTTCAAAAAGGTGATAGACTTCGCCAAAATAAGTAGTAACATGGTCCCATCCCTTCCCAGGATGTGTACGGGCGGTCAAACCAGTGCACCTCACCAAGCTCAGGTCTCAAAGCAAAGATGTGGAGAAAGTGAGCGAGAAGCGTGACAGGAAGCGTTGCTCCCTCTGCTTACCAAGTGCCTTCATTGTGGAGCAGTGTCTGGATGGATATTGGGAAGGATTCTCTGCTGGACTGGGAATTGTGCTTGGGAGACAGGGCCTGCTCAAGAGAATTGGCCCCTGGTTTAGGCCTCCTTTTCCTTTTCCTTCCTAAGGAACTGAATTAGCAACTTGGGTCTCAAGTGACTGGGATGGTTTCCTTCTTTTTATTTTTTCATTTTGTTCCTAGGGTTCTCAAAAGCGAACTATCACCACCCCAGAAACCCCTCTTACTAAAAGGAACGTGTCCATGCGCAGCCCCCATCAGCTCCTCTCTCCATCAAGTTTCTCTCCCAGGTATGGCTTGTCATTCACTCGGCCTCCCTCCCCGTTCCCCAGCGGCCTGACTAAACATTCATACCCTCCCACTTTCTCTTCCTTTGTGGAAAAATGACTGTTTCGTACAGTCTTTGAGAAAACGCGCTCTTCCCGGGCTCCTTTCCTGGGTCAGGAACTGACAGCTTCATTGAAAACAGCCTGTCTAGTCAGAAGTTGAGGCGCCTCACGAGTCTTGCCAGCAGACACAAATAGGTTCTCACCACTTCTGTTTGTTTATGTATCACTGGCTTTCTTTCTTCCCTCCTTTTTTCTTTTTTTTTTTTTTAAGTTGAGAGGATTTATTTTTAATAACGAAAAGGTACCTATCTTTGTTGGGGACGTTGTGTCACGTGCTTACTGGTCTTCACTCAGGTCACAGCATTTTGCTGTCACTGTCTCCACAGTGACTTAATGGTTGTTTTCCTGAGCTGTCCCATGACACATAAATCCACCAAGATCATGTGTGATTTTCGGAAATCCGTAAATGACATGTCTCTGCCAAACAGAAGGGTTTCTTGCCACTGCCTTGTCGGTGTGAGGCTCGGGGATGGTACGTTAACCATTGAGGGAAACATTAACTGCAGGAGCCACTACCTCTACTTTGGGTCCCCTCAGGACTAAGCCCAGAGTATGGTTGGCCAGTTCTGCAGTCATTCCGGTTGAGTGGTCATAGGTTTTGAAGGACACTTTGACCTTTGTGTGGTCCACTGCTTGGAGGTTCTCAACCTGTTTGGGGAACTGAGCTTTCTAGATTCACAGGGCCATCTTAGAAACCCAGGTGAAGGGATCCTTCTCATACATGTACCAACACCCTGGCTGCAATCCTGTGAAGCCCGTAAACCTATATCCGACCTCGTGTGAGCGTCCCATTGCATTCAAAGGCATGTTACAGGGAGGAGCCCAGGGCAGTTGTGATATGTTGCCTCGTCATGTTCTAACGCACGCTCATAAAGTTGGCATCAGAGACTGGTTTTGCAATTTATGAAGGTAGCCTCTGGATCACTCAGGAAGAGGCAACACTGGAGACAGACAGAGTCAGGACTGAGCTCCTGGTTAGCAGCCTCTCTGCATATAAGAAATGATGCCCCTATGTGCAGTGGGGCCTCCACCCTGAAGTGGCCAGTGAAGGAAGCTTATTTTAAATAGACCTGGCTGTGAGTGACATTCACAACAAAGGACTCGAAAACCTTACAACTAGAGTCATGTTGTTACCTAAGCAGATCAGCAACGTCCTGTAACACCAGCCAGTGAGGAAACATGAACTGTCACTTGTCGGCTGAGCTCTAGAAACTGGAAATGTCTGACTGATAACTCACTGTATCGCCGCCTCTGTAGTCACGGGGTACAGGGGTTTCGTTTAACTCCATGTTATTAGTGTTTCTATGATGCACCAGATTGTGAGGTTTTAGATTTGCTCAGCAACTTTTGGTTTCTCCACAGCTGCAGGCTCAGATGATGTATTAATCAATTCTAAAAATTCGTAAGACGAAAGGGAAGAATGTTGCTTGAAAATTACTTTTGAATCATTTCAGAGTATGGGTTTTGAATGTCACAGGAACAACCACCTTTGTAGATAATGTTTCTGTCTCTAATCTTCTCTGAGCACATTTGGTATACCTTGGTCTCTCATTTCTGGGAGCCCTTAAAGAACCAGAGAGGTCAGCCCCCATGAAGTTGGTTTGATTTATAAAATGTGCGGCTAACTTGACTTTGCTCCAATCCCCAATTCCAAAATGTAACCAGTCTTGTTTTTCCTCTTGCCCTTTAGATAGGGCCACAGTCATTTAATGGTTTTCTATTTTTGCTTCCAACTTAGTGCTACCCCCTCGCAGAAATACAACTCAAGAAATAACCGGGGAGAAGTGGTCACGTGCTTTGGCTCAGCACAGGGAGTGTCTTGGTCTGGGAGAGGAGGGGTTGGTGACATCAGCCTGAAGGTCTTGGGGTGCCCAGAGCCACTGACCAAAAGCTACAAATTTATGTTCCAGAAGCTTTCAGATGTTCGAGAAGGTGACTTTTTCTTCCCTTTGATAGTTCTCATGGTGCTCAGAGAATTCTCGTGGCTTGGGAGGGTTTGGAGAAAGTCACCATGCTTCAGCTGCGCTGGTGGAGCAGAGCCTCAATTCAAGGCTGCCATGAACTCTGTCCATTGGTAGATGTCCCTGTTAGCATAGAAACATGAAGCGGTCCATCAGGAATTTTCCCAAATCATAGCGCTTTGTGATATGTGCGTTTGCTACCGACACGGCACAGTCCCATTTCCCAGTCACAAAAACTTAAAAAACTGTGGACAGGGATCCAGCTGAGAGTGAAAGGCAGGTATGGCTTCTGTAAGAGGAACAGAGGAGCTTCCCCAGTGTGGGCTTGCCTTTCCCTGAACTTCAGGGATGACCCGGGTGAAGGGAAGGGTGGGATGGGATTATGTCATGTGATCTGTGGCCAATGGGAGCCCTGATTCAGTAGCCTGGTGGCAGAAAGCCTGAGCAGGGTGGCCAGGTGTCCTGAGTGCCCTTCCCACTTCTATCAAATGTCTGCTCCCTTATAATGGGCTATGTTTCCTCACCCTGGGAAGTTTCTTATATGCAACACTTTCTCACATCTGGGCTTTCAGTTCTGACCTGTAAGATCGAAGAACTTGGCATCGAACTCAAGGAACATTATAAGATTGAGGCGTTCACCCCCGTTCAAGTCCCAGCACAAGTAAGAGTTGTTTTAATTGTTCTTGCTGATTAACTTGCTAATTAACAGGTACCTTCTTTTTTTAAAAGTTTTTATTGTGAATTGAGCGAAGGTTAATAGACAAGATCATCCTCTTTACATTTAACAAATTATATGCTTTGTTTCATCTTAGTGATTACAATCCCCTCCCTGCAACATCACTTATCCTACTTCCTCCTTGTTGCTTCCCTTTCACATCTTATATATTCACAAAATGAACAAACCAAAAATATCTGATGCACACTACAAAACAAAATATATAAATTCATTTAAATGTTCAAAGGGCACATTTTGCAAGCCAGCCTCCTGCCCACAAGCACACAGCCTGACTCAGTCCGTGGGCCTAGAGCCCGCATCTGCTCTGTCTCTCCAGGCCACTGCCTCTGTCACCATCTCTGCTATTACCACTTTTCTAGGTAGGATCTCACACTCTACTCATGCTCTTCTTTCTTGATGGTCCTGGGATTGTGTGTTCCTGAAATGAAAGATTAACTACTCTTCCCGTTTAGTTACACATCTTCTACAATTACAGTTGTGACAATCACAATTACTCCTGCTAACAGTTACTCACAATTGAGTCATAAAATCCTATCATCGTCCCCATCCCCTTTTACCAGATCCATCTACCACCAGCAGTATTTTAAATACCAGCATTGTCATCCATGGTGGATAGGTTACAACAGAGCTGACAGACTAAGACAGACTAGGAAGGAGAATTCTGAATTATTAGTCACTGCAAACGTTATGAATAGCAACAGAACATTGTGAGATACGGTGCCAGAAGATGAGCCCCTGAGGTTGGAAGACACTTACAGTATAAGTGGGGAAGAGCTGCTTCAATGTAGAGTTGACCATGATGATATGGATGGAGCAAAACTTTCAGGCTTTCACTTGCTGATTAACATGCACTTTTTATATGTAGACTTGATGATGGTGAAAAGGCATCCTTCTTGCTTCCTTTACCACCTCTTGTATACATTCTAGTTAAAATCTTGATTGCATTTGGTAAAACAGGTCCTTTGAGGAAAGATCTAGAAGAACTCTCCAGCTTTGTCACCAGAGACAGTTGTTTTCTTCTTACACACAAGCAAAGACTGAAGGCTGAGTTCCCCTTAGTGATAGAAGTTGTGGGGAGGCAGGTAGCACCCTGGGGCTTTCCCACAAATAGAAGCATTCCCATATCAGGACAACGGCTTCCAGGTAGGATTTCCAGAGTCCTGTTAGATCCACGGTGATTCATGGCCCCTCCCCTCGTTTGCTCTCTTGTTACATAGACCCAAGTCCTGCCGATAGTATCCTTACATCAGAGATGCAGCAGTACTTTCTCTCTCGGGCTTTTTTTTTTTTTTTTTCTTAAATGATTTATTGTGAATTATGTGATAGTTTACATGGGAGAACATCAGTCTTACATTCATTCTATCGTGTATATCGTCTCATTGCCATGGTTACAATCCCCTCCATGCAATCCTTCCCCCGTATCCCCCAGGTCTTCAGCACACAGTCGCTCTCCCTCTCTGGATTTAAAGTCTCCGGCTGGTCCGTCGCTCCACGTCATCATCTCTGGCTCCATTTCAGGCATCACTGCTTCTCTGGGTAGGGTCCCGCTCTCTGCTCTTCTCCCATGATGGTCCTAGGGACCCTCCGCTCCTAGACTGAAAAGTTAATCACTCCCCTCCTTGCTATAAAACGTCCACCTTTACATTTCCAACCCTCACAGTCAGTCCTGATAACAATTATTTACTATTGTATCACAAGAGACCCGTCTGCATTTCATTGCATCAGCCCTGCCTAGTCAGATTGAATACTACTCACTGGAGATTCTACCTTCCTCCAGGCCCTCTGGATCTAGGTTCCCTCTTGAAAACTTGTAAGCCAGTCACTTCTTGCCTTTGTAGCCCCCCACCCCCATTTTGGGTAGCCAATGTCCAAGTTGCCCATCCCTGTCTACTCTGTGTGTGGAGGGGGTGGGGATGATTCTTGCTGTAAGGACTTGTTCCCTCTTTTGAGCTACTGCTTCCATAGGTGTCTGGGGCTTTTTTTGATTGAGGGGAAGATTCTTTAAAGAACCTGTATCATATGTTTCAAGGAGCTCTAGTAGTGTAGTGGTTACAAGTCAGGCTGCTAACCTCAAGGTCAGCCATTCCACAGGAGAAAGATGAGGGTTTCTATTCCCAGGGTCACTATGAGTCAAACCTGACTCAACAGCATCATATATTTACATTCAGAGAGCAGAGAACAGTTGGGGAAGATAGGCAAAACCCTGTCATGTAAGGAAGTTCTAATGGGGTTGGACAGGAAGGGAAGGTTGTATGGTCATGTGGAGGAGATTAGACTGGCTCAGGTTAGCCCCAAGAGTGAAAGCTGAAGAGCTTCTTGCTGAGAGACAGTGTAGTGTGGGGTAAGGACGTGGCCCAGGAGCCACACTCCTGAGCTCTAAACCAATCACGATTGGACCCTGACTAAAGTATCCAGCCTCTCTGTTGCACCCATTAATGTTGTCTAAGTTTGCCCTCACTTTGAGACAATTGACACACCCCTTACTCACAACAACTTCTTCATCACATGACCTTCACCTGCTGCACAAGCTGCTTCTTGTCATCGCGGAGGCTTCAGCCCTTGTTTTACACTAACGTCAGGCTGAAGAAGATCTGCACGCGCCTCTTGTGACCTACAGAGTTGGCTGAAAGACACACTTAGGAACAGCTCTTGCTTGTAACCTGGGAACTAACTGTCTGTGACCCCCTCAGAGTTTCTATAAGGGTTAAATGAAGTAATATGTGGAAGCCTCTAGAACACTGTCTGTTTTGTAAGTTCTATAGAGGTTGACTATTGACTCTTACAGCTGCCCAGAGATGCAGTGGTCATGGGGCCAAGGGCACGTTCCTCTTGACTAGACGCTCAGACTTAGGCCCACGTGGAGGAGGCTCAGACATCCAGTGGGTGGGCAGACTAAGTGTCCTTTAAGAGTTCAGTGACAATGCTGGGTCATCTCAGAGTCACATGCTGTCCCAGAAAGGGTATGCTGATATTAGCTGTTTGTTTTGCATCTGCCTTGTGTGTGCTGACTTCAGATTTTGCACTCCTGTTCCAAAGGTGGTCTTGTTTCTTCTTCCCCCCTCTCCTCTGTAGGAACCCGTCACCCTTCTGGGCCAGATCGGCTGTGACAGCAATGGAAAGCTGAACAGCAAGTCTGTGATTCTTGAGGGAGACCGGGAACATTCCTTAGGTGCTCAAATCCCTGTGGATTTATCAGAGCTCAGAGAATATTCTTTGTTTCCTGGGCAGGTAAGAGTTGAATCACAGCCATAGGCTGCAGGTGTGCGTGGTTTACATGTGTGAAGGAGCGGGGCTCTCAGACTAAATCAGCCTTTTGTGGTGTGGCAGCTTTGATGCAGTGAAGGGTGCGGGCTGGCCCCTGTTGTGGGGACTCAGCTCTTCCCTGGTCCGTGAGCTCTGACAGCTCTGGGGTCAGACTGCCCAGGTTTGAACTCCAACTCCACCCAAGTCCTGCAGTAACGGGCAGGTTGCTGAGCCTCCCTAAGCTCCTGTGTCGCATCTGTAAAATGGGAAGCCTCGTTCCTACCTCACTGGATTGATGAGAAGTGAGGTCATTCATGTAGAGCATCATCAATACCACAACTTCATCTCACATATCCCTTGGTTTGTTTCCTGGGATCTAAGAGTCATGCCCCGGGCCTCACTGGACAGTAGCTTGAACTGTACCAGCCGTTGCTCACGGCTCTCCTCCGTCTCCCCACGTTAACAGTTCTGCCTTCTGTCTGGTCTTTCAGGTTGTTGTTATGGAAGGGACCAACACCACAGGCAGAAAATTTGTCGCCACCAAACTCTACGAGGTACTCCAGTTCTCTCCCCACCTTCCCTCCTTGCTAGCTCCATTCCTGCAATGGGCTGGCATGTTCCTCATAGAAATGGGGCCTGCTTATTGGTTTCACACTGGGATGGGACCAACATGAGAGTTACTTCTTTAGGCCAAGAGTTAGCAGTGGCCAGAGTGCCATTGTAGCACAAAAGTAACCATAGACAACCTGTCAACGAGCAAGTGTGGCTGTGTGCCAATAAAACTTTATTTACAAAACTGGCTGCAGCCAGATTTGTCCTACAGGTTGTAGTGTGCCAGCCCAGCTCTCAGCGATCCACAAGGGTCAGGATTGGAGGAAAAGTGGCAGACACACTTCCCTCTCAGCCTCGCCTAGAAACATAGCGATAACTCCAGGCATTTGTCCTGGCCCCCACTTTTTGCTGGGTGGTTTATGAGAAAATATCTGTTGTGGTTAAGTGCTATTGAATTGGTCCCGACTCATAGCGATCCTGTATAGGACTTCTGAGGAGAGACCAGTGGGTTTGAGCTCTGACCGCAAAGTTAGCAGTCCAGTGCTTATCCTGTAGTGCCACCCCAGGACTCAAGGAACCATGGCAGTACGGTAGTCAAGTGCTTGGCTGAAAGATTGGTGGTTTGAATCTAGCCAGCAGCTCCAAGGGAGAAAGGCCTGGCAAATCTCCTGTAAAGATGGCGGCCCAGGAAACCCTCTGGGGCAGTTCAGATGGGGGCCGTGAGTCAAAATCAACTTTGTGGCAATGACCTCGTTACGTGTGCTCGTTACCACTCAGAGCAGAATAGAAAAATGGCAGATACCCTCGTGTCTGGGCTTTTAGTGCCAGTGAGCAAGACACAGGCTGCTTCTTCCTGCCTGCCCCCACTGCAGACCACCCCCCACCCCCCAGTCCATGACCACCCCTCTCCTCCCCAAGGGTGGTGCCTGGAGCCAGACCTCAGTGTAGCTTTGCTTTTGGCTTTCAGGGCGTGCCGCTTCCTTTCTATCAACCCACTGAAGAGGAGGGAGGTAAGTTTTGAACTTTTTTGTTGCCAACCTTCAAGGTGAGGGGGCGAGAGTTCAGGAATGTGACTCTCAGGCACTAAGAGCTGCGCACACGGTGAGAGCGTCCGGGTGACACAGGGACAGACATAGCTGGACTGTCACGGGTCTGAGCCTCATGGACACTCTGGAAGGTGCCATTCTAAGATGAAGGTGCAGCTTGCTTTAAGAGGGAAAAAAGAGCCCTAGTGGCACTGTAGGGTAAGTATTGGACTGCGCACTGCAAAGTTGGCAGTTCAAACCCACCAACCACTCTGAGGGAGAAAAATGAGGTTTTCTGCTCCCATAAAGATTTCCAGTCTCAGAAACCCTAAGGAGCGTTCCTGCTTGGCGCTCTAGGGTCACTGTAAGCAGAAGTGATTCAGTGGCGGTGGAGTTGGTTTGGGTCTGGGGTTGAGAAGGAAAAAAACAAGCCATTTAAAAACTGAATTTCTCTAGATGTGGTGCATGCTGTCTTGGTTTGTGTCCTGGAAGAACAAAGGGTGTTGCTGAGACCAAAACCCGGAGTTGAGCTAACAGGAATGTCATGAATGTCATTGCACAGTTTTGACAAATGGTAGAATTCTTTCCTTCTAGCTGGGAGACGGGGGTTCCATTTCCGGCCAAGGCACCTCATGTGCAGCCCCACCCATCTGTCCATGTTGCTGTGATGCTGGACCAGTTTCTGCAGGCCTTCCAGACTAAGAAAGAAAGGCCTGGTAGGCTACTTCTGACAAGTCTGTGGGTCCCAGTGGTCCCATCCACAGCCAATTAGGGGGATGACAGAACCAGCCGGTGCTTCGTTCACTTGTGCATGGAGTTGCGCAAGAGTGGGGCCAATTTGAGGAAGATAGGAACATGAGGGGACACAGGAAAAGGCACACAGGGACTCCCCATACTTTCTATTTTTTCTACAATTCTAAAATTACTACAAAGGTGAAGAATTTCTGAGAAAGCCTAGAATGATTTATAAACTAATGTCAGTGGAAAAGAGGCTCAAAACAAAACAAAAAAATTAGCAAACTTTCGTTCCAGGTATTTCCAAGCATTTTTTTAAGCCAGGTAGAGCACTGTGGAGGGGATTGTCAGCGCCCCACACGTAGGATAAGTGGGTGAGCTCTAGATTTGGGGATGAAATCAGGAGTTCGATGACTTTGCATGTCCTGTCAGTAAATGTGTTGACGGGTAGTGGTGGGGTGTCCTGCTGGCTCCCTGGTGAGGACAAGAGGCCTGGCTGGGATGCTGAGGCCAGCGCTGTACACCAGGGAGGCTTTCTAGGCTGCTGACAGACATGGTTTATGAGAAACTCCATACAGAGTCCTGAACTAGAAACTCTTGGAAGTCCAGACTAAGACATGGACCCTGCCCTGCAGGCACTTCCTGTTTGCTGAGCTGACAGGGTCTGTAGGCTCCTCAGGACTGAACTGACCTCTGCCCCCTGCCCTTATGGAAATACAGACAAAGACGTGAACCCTGCCCTGCAGGCACTTCCTATTCACCGTGCTGACAGGTCCTGTGGGTTTGTCTCTGCCCCCTGCCCACCTCCACAGGAAGCCTACTCTGCCCCTGGATTCTCTGTCTCAGTCTTAGACTACCGATGTCCACCCACTCCCACCTGGATCCCCAGAACCTGTGACTAGGTGACCTTACCTAGCAAAAGGGCTCTCCAGCAGTGATGAAGTGAAGGATCTTGGAAATGGGAAATTATCCTGAGTCACCCAGGTGGGCCCAGTGTCCCTACAGACCACTGCCCTCCAGTCCATCCTGACTATGGTGAGCCGGTAGGACAGAGTAGCACTGCCCCCTTGGGCTTCCAGGGTTGTTCTCTTTGCTGAAAGACTGACATGTCTTTCTCCTGTGGAGCAGCTGGGACCTTCAGACCACCTAGCTTTCCGTTTGCTGCTGAACACTTAACCACTGTGCCAATAGGGGTCCCACGTCATCTCAGGGGCTCAGAGAGGAAGGTCGGAAGAGGCAGTACTGCTGGCTTTGAATGGCCCCACAAGCCAAGGAGTGCAGGTAGTAGCCTCTGGCATAGATTCTGCCGGAGGACGACCCTCACTCTGTAGGGTTTTCAAAGCTGTGAACTTTTGGAAGCAGTTACTTCCAAGGCACCACTGGCTGTGTTTGAACTGCCAACCTCTCCAGTAGTAGTTCAGTGCTTAACCCTTTGCTCCATTCAGGGCTCCTAGGCAATTCCTTTGTTGTGGTGGTGTGCTATCTAGTCATTTCAAACTCAATGACCCTGTATGGAGTTTCTGAGAACAACTGGTAAGTTTGAACTGCAGACTTTGTGGTTAGTAGTCCAGTGCTTATCCTACAGAGCCAACCAGGACTCAGCCTCTTTTTTTTTTTTTTTTATGGTCCAGGAGTGGGCAATGTTTTATTGTGTTGTGGATACAGTGTGTTTGAGTAAGAAGTGACCCAATGGCACATTACAACAACAAAATAGTAGATACACTCTGCCTGTTTTGGGGCACTCCAGACCTGCCCCTCACTTTTTTTTTTTTTTTTTATAATTAAATGTTTTTATTTTGCATTGAGTGAAAGTTTACAGGGCACATCATCAGCTTCACATTCAACCATTCATATAGCTTGTTTCATTAATTGATTATTATCCCCACTATATATCATCAGTTTACAGTGTTTCTCTCTATCCTCTTTAGCTTTTTTTTTTTTTTTGGATGCGGGGGGACTTGGCTTATTGGAATTTACAGTCTCGGCTTTTAGGGGAGGTTTTTACATTTGTCTGTGGATATCCAGGGCTCACGTATGAGATTACTAACAAGCATTACTGAATAATCAGATGAGGGACAGTTTGTTATGTCTACTAGGTAGCTAGAGTCTGATCCTCAGAGCCTATGGTTTGGACGGTCAACAACGCTTGGGCCCACAGGGGCTTGGCCTCCTGACCGGGTCTGTGCTGTCTGCATCTGAGTCCTCCTTTTTTATTGATTGTTTAAGGGACGCTGCCTGTCTTAGGTGGTCAGTGCGAATTCCTCAGTCTTACCAGTCATCGAGACTCATTGCAGCATGGCAATGTCTCTAGGACTCAGCCTCTTGAAGCTAGAAAAAACAACAAAAACAAAACATAGAAGGGATGACACCCTTCCTTCACATTGTGTAATTATTTGTGGTCTGGCTTCACCACCCGTGGAATGGTCTTTGAGGGTGAGAATAAGGCCTTTTTCATCATCTTTGATTCCCAGAGTTGCACCACATAAAGAGGTTCTCAACAGATAGAAGATTTCAGTGGCATTTGGGTTCTCTTCTCCCATCATTCCAGCATTGGTCACCTTGTAATCAAGACCCTGCAATCTCTCCTGTCTTAGATTTTGAGCAAAGAATGGTTCTGGTTGCCTGTGGGCCTTACACTACCTCTGATAGCATCACATATGACCCCCTGCTGGACCTGGTCACCATCATCAACCGTGACCGGCCGGACGTCTGTATTCTGGTAGGAAGCCCTGGGGGCTCTGCCTTCAGCAAAGGTCTCTAATGTTCTGGAGTCCTAGGAAGCATGTCCGTCTCGCCTCCTTTTCAAAAATACCTTTTTGTTCTTAGTCTGTGCCTTTGGAGAGGGAGGGGTGCAACAGGCCTTCCCTGAGTGTTCTGGCCTCTGTCTCGTGAACTCACCCTGTGTGGGGAGCTGAGAGCGTGACTGTCCACCTGGCAGGGGATGTCCCTTGCTAGGCACAGAAAGTTGGTAGAAGGGGCAGCTGCAGCTCTAGTTACAGGGCTCTGGCAGCCTCCCTCCGTCCAAGGCTCTTGTCCTCCCTGTGATCCATCCAGTCCCCTGTCCCCATCTACTAGCCGTGCCCAGATTGCAAGCCACCTAGGAGGGCCAGATGGGCTAGGAGAGGTTTTCTGAACGCCTTCTGAGGCACGTGTGGTTCTGGTTTGTGCTCTGACCCCTTTGTTTCTCTTCCTTGGGCTTCTCTACAGTTTGGACCTTTCCTGGATGCCAAGCATGAACAAGTGGAGGTAAGTGGCTCAGGTGGGTGGGGCGGAGGGCTCAATACTCACTGCCTCTGTCATTTTTTTGGACTTTATTATGGCATCTGCAAGACACCTAAATCTATCCCCGCAGCACACCAGACAAACACTATATCTGGACATGTTTACAAGGGACAGTGAATTGGAGAGGCTTGTGTCACGGGAACACCAGAACACCAGGAAGGGGAACATAGATCCATCCGTCCTGGTGTCCTGTTGTCTGTGGCACGTGACAAAAAGGCACAAGAGCACCACGCAGATGTTGGCGACTGTGGGCATAGAGCTGTGTGTATGGGCTTGATTCCTCATGCTCTGCTCTGCTCTCCTTTGATGCAGAAAGCACAAATTGCCTTCATAGGCCAAGTCTAGGGGCATTTGGTGCCTCCTGCCCTTGGACTCAGGCAGTTTTACTTTCCACAAAAATGATTTCAAAATACACTTCCTTTTAGCATCTCTAGTAATTTACATTCAAGGTTATTCACTGTGACCCCCACCCCTGCCCCTGGCTCGACTCAGCTCCTGTGGACAAGGGCCACGTCGTCTTCAGCTTTGTGTCCCTTAGCTCCTAGCTCAACAGCGGGCACCTTAGAGCCCTTTACACAAGTGGTAGACATGTGACTGAATGCCAAACAGCTGTAAATGTGTCTCCTTCCCTTCCTTCTAGAACTGTCTGCTCACGAGTCCATTTGAAGATGTCTTCAAGCAGTGTCTGCGCACAATTATCGAAGGGACAAGAAGGTCAGGATTCAAAATACTTGACAGAGATGTAAAGTTCATAAGGGGTCTTTTCCCAGGAATTCCCATTAAGAACCCGAGCGTGGTCACAAGTAATGATCGTTCCAACCCTCTTATCCTTTTGAAGTACAGCAACTAGCTAGAACTCTTGAACTTTAAGTGCACTGATGCCAGGCTAAGAGCCATCTATGTAAAACACAAAGATAAACATACTTGAAATGAAAAGGCAGCATCAACTCTCACTCTCCTCTTGCTCTTTCCCTTCCTGACTCCATTCCTTTTCTCCTTTTTTGTATCAACTCCAGCTCCAAGGGCATCTTCCCAGGGGGAGCCTGAGAGATGTTAGGTGACGGACTCGTACAGCAACGTCCTTTAAGTTTTTTTTTACGAATTCAGTGCTAGTTTACATGGGAGACCATCGGTTTTATACTCACAATTGAATGCTAGTTTACATGGGAGAACATCGGTTTTATACTCACAATTGACTGCTAGTTTACATGGGAGACCATCGGTTTTA